ACACCAGCTGGGTATAACACTGAGCAGAAGCTCAAAAAAATATTGGCTTGAGTACGGTCACCCAGAAAGGAGTCTGGCTCCAGCAGCTCATAACTCACTGCAGCAGTCACCTAAAAAAAGGTACCCTGCAAAACAGGGAAGGAAAAAAACCCCACAAAACCAAAAACCCACAAAAACCCCAAAAGCCGGGCACAGGCTGGAAACAGGAAGCAATACTCACTCACAGCAGCTAAGCAGGGAATCAATAGGGCTGGTTCACACTTACTCTGGGGAAAATACAGGTGGTCTTATTTTTGTCAAGAAAGGATTGACTCCTGAAGCCCTTCAGAGACCTCCTTAAAATAGGGCAGACTTATCAGAATCAACAATTCCATCTGACTATCACAGTACATTACTATCATGGAGATAAAACCAATACATCCACCTACTTCTCTCATTTTGAAAAAGGCCATTCCTGTGAGTAAAGAATCAGATCCTGCCTGATGCTGTGGTCCTATCCTTTCCAGCTCTAACTGCTCAGCCACTTCTTGTAATCCACCCTGAAAAAGAAAACATTTTTGTTAACTGCTGAAAAAAATTACATCAGAAAACTGAACAGCTATATTTGGGAAAATCTGTTACACAAGTCATACAACCTCAGGTATATTTTAACATTTGCACAGTAGCTGAAACAGTTATTATACTAGGTAAATACACACCTGGAGAATCAAACTTTCAGTATCAATAACAGCATTAGAATTCTGTGTCAGTATTGGTTAAATAAAGCAGTATCTGTGACCAACAAAACTATTACTCCTTCATGTTCCAGCTTCTCCAGTAACCAGATGTCATTACTTAGCAAAACAATTCCTTCAAGATGTTGAAAGGACTGGCAATGCTGAAGAACAAAACCAGGTGTTCCTGTACTCCTTCTATTTGAATGAAAGTTTAAAAGGTAAAAACATTGTTCTACAAACACAAGAATTCAAGTGCTTACAAATCAGGTGCCCATATGCCTCCATGTGTTAAAGTATCTAGGCTTCCTTTGAAACTGACCTTTTACTTTCCACTTACCTTTCAACAATTAAGTTGAGGGTTTTTCCACTTCCCTTCACAAAAACTGAGAGTATCCTTAAGTATCTAGAACACTACAGGGAGTCCAGGAAAACGTTACACAGCAGGCATTTAGAAACCCGGTGGTAAAGTCAAAAAAGGAAGAAAGTGCCCACTCCACCTCTACAAGATATTCTACCCCTCTTTAAAGTTTGTTTCATTAGCTGCCACAAGAGGATAGGAAAAAAAACATGCCAAAAAATCCATCGTCTTGCAGCTAGTTTTCTAAGATACTAAAATCCAATGGTATAGCCAGCTTTTCTGTTAGAGATGTATATTTAATAGTCACATGTGTAATGAAACCTACTTCTTAAAAAAGTATATAAACATCTCATATACAAAAAGGGAACAATTTAAAACAGTAATTGTCTGCTTTGAATGTTGATACATGGTTTAAAAGGACAGACTGTGAAGCTGTAAACATCACTCCAAAGCTGCAAATCTATCTGCTCGCAAAGGTAAAACTTCTCCAGTTTTGAAGCAAATTTTTTTTTTAAGCCCAGTAAGCTTATGTGAAAAACTATTCCCTTAACTGCAGAGTGACCAAATAAACCTCTTTTTAGTGCCCCTCAAAATGTCAATAACCACTACGTGTGGAAGCAAACCCGTCAGAAGTCAGTTTGGTTTTACATAGATAACACAGATCAGTTGAAGGATAGACATGTTATACTGTAACTGCAACCTTTTAATGCTGTAAGCTACACTGTAAGCACATCAATTTTTTTTAATCATTAAGCAATAAAGCAACTGGAAATAGACTAAAGCACATGCACATTCTTTAAGGTCTAGAAAGATCAAAAAAACAAAGACAAAATCCTTAGTGCTGCCATAAGCTTTGCAAGGCAAAAATGTTGCACAGAGGCAATGCTTTTAAAGAAAGACTGCCTAGTATCCAAGTTCACCTTTCCTTCCACTCTTAACCTGTTTCAAGTACAGGAAGGGAAGCAGTAAGAGGCAAAAACATAACAGTCAAAGTTAAAACTCACAGAGCAATAAAAAAAGTCTGACTTGAAAATCAGATCAAACATTATGAAAATTCCTGTAAATCTTAATGCAACAGGTTTTTCTTTTGTTTAAAAGATGGAAGCTTCAGTAATAACATTCCCAAGTAACACCTACAAACCAACATGAAAACCTAGTACTGGTATGGCTAGTTTTATTCTAGCTTGAGCAGTAGGAATATAGTCTACAGAAGTTTAAGGTAAGAGTAATTCTATACACCATACAGTTAAGCACTGAAGCTAGCTTGTTTTCTTTATGTGCTTGGATACAACATTTGAACACTGCAAACATGCTCAGATATATCAAAAACATGCTGAGGGTTGGTGGGCAGGAGAAAAAAGTGCATCTCAGATACAAGCATGTTCTCCACTTTTTAACTCCAATAATGAGCTGTTAGAGTTAGCAACAGCAGTTAGGCCCACACCCTTTCAAGGCACCATTTTCTGCTCCTAAACCCTCCACTTCCAGCTGCAAATTAGCAGTGCCTCATCATCAGGTTCTGCTATCTACTCTAGCTTCAAATAACTTTGAAGAAAAACACTCAAGAATAAAAATAAGTAATATTTACACAGCAGCTGCAAGCTCTGGAATGTACACTTAGTAATTCAAAATTTAAATTAACAGCAGCCTACAGAAGAATGCTTTGAAAATAGCGCTTTTAATGGTATATATCTATTTGTAAATATATCACACATCACTTTTGTGTGGAACTTCCTGGTCTATAACTGCAATAACTACAGAATAAAATTTGGCTGTCTCTGAAAATTAATAGGCTATTGAGATTCTCTTTCAGGCAAGATTTTTGCACTCCAGATATGAACACTTTACTCTTGGAGGAGAAGGACAAATTCTTCCGAAGTTTTCAGAGCATCGGTCTTTCCAAGAAAAAGGCCACAGAATGATTTACATAATCACATGACCATAGTCGACAGCAAATCCGGTTCAAACACTGGTTTCATGGCACTCGTACCAGAGCTCATTGTTCTGTAAAAACCCCCATATTAAAAGTAAGTCTCCAACAAGGTCTATAAATCTACATTACTTAGAGTTGCCATTACTATCAAAAGGTTTGGAATTGTCTACATAGAAAGATTTTTAAAGAACAAGCAACAGTTCAACCTATATTACATTAATATCTCAAGTTAACTCCCAATCTGCATGCCAGTAAAGTACATTCATGTCCATTTAAGTTAGAGTAACATACTGTAAATTCACAGACTACTCAATTCCACAAAAAGAGCACCAAACAGCTCCCCAATCCTGAAGCATATTTCTCTTCCCAATGCCAAAAATTCTTTTTTGGGTGTGTGGGGGCAGGGAGTGGGGGACCTGTAGCAAGTCCGTGACTTTCATAAGAAAAATAACTTAGACAAGTCAATAAAGGACAACTGCACAGCAGTTCAATTCACTGCAATTTAATAGAGATTGTAAGTGACAGACATTAGGAGACAGCGCATGCATTTTTAGAGTCACAACACTGAATGTTTAGCAATTTGTTTCAGACAGCTGCTCTCAGTACAGTACAAGTCCACCATCATTTCATCACTGGTAAATTTGGAGGGGTAGGGTAGTCCACATCCCTTCCCCTGCTGTCATTACCAGTCTGCAGATTAGGTGACAGGATCAACATTTACTGCAGGAAAGCTGACCTACATATTCAGCTCTGAAAAAAAAAAAAATCACCCTTGTTCTTAAGGTTTGCTGAAATAAGACCTGTGAAGGTTTTACTTGTCTTCCAAAAAACATTAGTGTCTCTAAACAATGCAGGTTACACACAACTATGTCTTAATGAAATGACAGGAAATACAATCCCCTCCTCCCCAAACCCACTGGGAATGTCACCTCTGGAATGGTGACACGGATGTCATTCTGTCACCTTCCCTACATCACTAAAGTTGGATTATACATTCTGTATAATCTATACATACTTAGTAAGTGTATCGCCACCACTAAGACAGCAGATGCTTTACTTTGCTTCACCAGGAACGAGAAAGTGAGAGCATTTTTTGTTTGGGGTTTCCCCCCCGCCCCTCCTCCTGAAGTTTATGAGTATTTCATTTTTTCTTCTGGCCTCTGTGGAGAAAAACTGTTTCTAAGATATTCTCTAATACTCAGCCATTTGCCCGGCTGATTATACCAATAACAACTCTAGATGAACACAAGTAGGTATACTTTTCTTACTAATTGAAAGGGAGGTCTCCATTTTCAACCTTAATTTGATTAACAAAAGGATTTACACACTTTACTTCCCACACAAGTAGGCTACTACTTAGAAGTGACACACTCTATTAGTTTAACTCAGAAAGAAACAGAGGACTATAAACCCCACACAGGTCACTAGTTCAGCACGATGAAGTGGCAAGCCATCCCTTAGTTAGGATTTGGTTGTACTACAGTCAGTGTCCTCTTTTTCCTGCAGGTTCTCATTAAGGAAGCCTAGAGAATCGAGTTACTTTCCACAAAAGCAGCAAGTCATTAATCACCTCAGATGAACGATGCACCTCATTCCAGCAGCAGTCCAGACTCTTACAGTTCTTTGGCAAGTAAAGCTGTTAGCAATCCCTGTAGCATCTTTCTTTCACTTGCAGTCTTCCCTTCACATACTTAGTTCCAGTTTCCATTCATTGTCCAGTCCAATAAAGTATCCAAATTTTATGCCTGATAGAGTAAGCCAATTAGTAACCCCGCTGGCCTGACATGAGAGATTAGTTTCTGGTACTGCATTTTTTTCTAGAAGTCACATGTTGTCCCTGAACATATGCTGTTGTTTATCTTTCCTTATGGGGCCATCTGAAACATTCTTCACTCCATTCCTCTTCCCAAGACACTTCCACAGCATCATCGTTGCAATTACCTTTGCCAAGACGACTGCAGTCCTTTAGTGGACTGCACAATGAGGAAATAAGAGTATATGAAATCCATCAATTCTTATGGCTCAAGAAGTGAAGGATCAATTCCAAACATAGGTTTATCATCTGTCAACAAAGACTGGATACTATAAATACAGTATCAACATGCTATTTTTAACCGGTAAAAATATGAAAATCGATGTGTGCTCCTGCCTGCCTCTATCAATAGCCTTTAATATTAAATATATAAAGTTTGAGACCACAAGGCTGTTTAATAGGTATTATCAAAGCAAAACCAGAAAATAAAAATACAGAAAATAAGTATTTTTAGCAGAAAGTACTCTCTCTCCAAAACCAAAATTTGTTCTGAGCCATTAACAGATTACTTACCTTCAGATTTTTGCAACTCTTCATGAGATATTTTACATCATAGATGACAGGGAAAAACAATCGCAGTATCTCAAAGAAGTCCAGCTCTTCTTCAGGTAAATTAGAGTTTGTCAGGATTTTGATTAAATAGCCAAAGTCATATCCACTGCAAATCAATAACAAAAACAATATAAGCAAATAACTCAGAAGTATCCTTCTCACTTCCAGCATCAAGACTTTATTACACATCAACAGGACATTCTTCTTAATTTCAATGCAATTAAGACTGACACTTAAAAAAGACTAAACCTCCTTGTAAATGGCCCCATTGCAGCTTTCAGGGAAAACATTTTAATTTAGTCTCAATAAGGCCAACTGAAGAAGCAAAAAAAGATCTGCCTAGAGGAGCTTCTCCAAATCCTGAAACAAGGTAGCGCTGCTGGGGCTTCTTCTGATAACAAGAAATTAAAACAGAAAAAGACTCCTAGCTGGTTCCTTTCACACAGACTGGAGTTTCTCACTACAAACTGAATGAGATAGAGACACTCTACAGTTCTTGAAATCCAAAGGATTCATGAGTTTCCAGAGCCAACACGTTTATGCCTGGAGGCAAGTTTCACCCTCAGCAATGAAGAGGAGCAGATTGTCTCTCAACTTTCCCAATTCAATCAGCACACAGTTAGACAACTGAAAAATTTTAATATTTTGTAGACTGTTACTCCTTTCGGAGGCAAGGACAAAGTAAATTGGAAATTTTTTTGTGTGTACATATAAATCAGCAGGAGGCAGCAAGATAACTGAGCAGTAAAGGTTTGCTAGAAGAAACTGAGATTATTATATATAGTGTGTGTGTGTAGTAGAGAGAAGAGTTTGGCAAGACTTCCTTCTCAGTAGCTTGACTGGAGAAAGAGGACATAGGAACGAGGTGTGGAAGTAAAAAGGGAAATCATGTACTTTTACAGAGGATTATGAAAGGAAACAGAGGGTTTAAAGCATAGGAAAGATAGATGCCAGGTATTAAGCAGGACTGAACACCACAACAAAAAGCAGTGATGACTAGTTATCCTTTTCCCTAGAAGGCAGAAATTACAAGACAGATTATTCATGATCTGATCATGAATCTGATCCATTCTGATCCCTTGTACTTGCAGGACTGCTCATGCATATACACACTGAACTAGATGGGAGACTGATTATGTTATCTTGTTATTAGGTTTGCATTGAACCAAATCAGCTCCTAGATTTTATTGACATGCAATTTTAAAAACGTCTGTACTAACAAAGAAGACAAAAAGACGCAGCAGGGCTGCCTCTACTGAAGGCTGCATCAGTTTTGCTACTTAAGGAACCTTAGCATATAGCTGAGAGACAATTCAAGTGAATGGGGGGCCACCACAGACTCCAAATTCCCAGTTTAAGACTTCGTGTTCGTTCTTGGTTACATGAGGATCATACTTAAAACCAAGAATTTTGCAACTTGGTAAACCTTGACTGAGATCTTCAACTGTGAGATGAGCAATACAGAAGACAAAGCAGTTAAGAGCACTGTACTACTGATCCTGCAGATATTTAGCACCCACAAAGACTGGCGACTTCTGATGCAGGCTCAAGGCTTTAGCTTGCATACTCAATGTAAAGAGGATTGCTTTTTGTACCTTTTGTATATGATGGGATTCTCTACATCATCTTTATGAATTTCTAGACAGAGGGTAGAAAATCTTGACCATGCTGGGAGTGAATGGGTTGTTTGCTAAAAGTCCACTAATACAAGACATACAGAAAGTACGGACTATTGCAGCTCTCCCATGGGAGTTTCCAGTGCTCTAAACGGGTATTTCATGTTGAATGAATCCTGCACTGCATCTGGTGCTTTGAAGTTGTGCTGGCGGCACTCCAATCTCCATAGCAGCAACCACTGGCCAGGGAGCAAAGGAGCCAAAGATAAAAAAGGATTTCAGCCGAATCTTACAAAGCAAAAACCTGTAGTATACTTGGCAAAACAGTGGCTTGGAAGCTTAATTTTATTAGATCACCTATTGGGGGGGGGGAGGGCGGGGGGGAGAAGCATAGTGGGGAAGCCTGTATCAGCCTCTATAGAAAAAGAAAAGACAAACAGCCACATTAGCAAAAAAAGGCTGTTCAGAAAGATGCAAAAAAGACTGTTCAGGATTAAGGATTTACTCCTCTAGAGATTAGAGCGCTTATTAACTCACTGAATTCCTGACATCAGTCATCCCTGTGGCTCAAATTTTTTTACTCCCCTCCTCTTCCAAAAAAGAATTATGTACTTAACTGAATTACTAGAAAACAGATGCTGTCAAACACTTCCAATTTCTATTCAGAAGGAAGTACTGTAAGAAAAGAAAAGTCAAGATTCATTTACTACTTGTATTGAGAGGTAGCAGGCTACCATAAATCTGCAATTTCGATGAAGAATATATTTTTCCCCTGGAGATTATAGCAGATTCTTTCATTCTAGGATCCTCATACAGAAAAAGGGAACAGGATATCTGAATAGTGGATTTAACAGACAGGATTACCCTTCCATTGCATGACATCGTTCAGTCAGATATCTGTTCTGGGATCCTAAGCATGGGTCAGCTCAACCAAATGATGTTTCACATTCCTTAAGTTCCAGCTGCTTACACTTAGTCCCATTGTGCTCATAACAATCACCACAAACCACACTTCACTAATCACAATGTAGTATCAAGGCATTTACATAATCTTTTTAGTATACTTCTCAGGGCTAATACACTCCAGTCATCCAAGCTTACACAGACATAAGAACTGTCACTCCAATTCAAGACTAAGATATATCTAGTTCAAAAATTTTTGAGTGGCCACTGCTAAATGCTAGCAGAAGAGCAAGTAAGTCCACAGTGAGCAATTATGTAATTACCTGCTCATTAAAGAAGTTTTCTTCTAATCCTCTAACAGGCAATTAGTGGTTGGTTCATACCCTGAAACACATAGGCTTAAAAAGCTTTCACCATTTCTAATATAATCACCTAAAGTTACTTAGTACAGCTAGCCACAATCCCTGGAGCTATACAGCAACATAAGCACTCTTACAACCACTTTTTTTTTTCCTTCGTTTTTCACTGAACGTGGACAGCTGTAGGCAACAAGACTATGGAAAAGATCATACACGCCTGTATTTCTTTCCCCTACTATCCAGAAATAATTCAGATAGCCAATTAACAATGAATTCTACTCAAGCACCAACAGTCTCTGAAATAAATCAAAACCTGACAGAGCTGAGAAAGCTTTACTTCATTTTATAACTGGCTAATAGAAATGATCCAACAGAATAAATTTTACTAAAATCAGTTAGACACAAATGACTATTGAAATACAACAGCTTGGAACTTTCCAGCTTCCCAAAAACATCTGGGTTAAGAGGCATGTTTGCACAGAGCCTCCAAAGGTAGATTGAGGAGGTTGCACACAGGTGGACACTCAAAGCTTCAGCAGATCAGTCAGTTGAACATCCACAAAAACAGCATTTGAGCTGTTCCGTTTTATAACTTGTTAAGACTGCCAAGCACTCACAGCTCTCTTCACTGTGACAAGAATCAGAAATTCAGGGCTTCCCCCTCCTTCCTCATAGACTCAAATACACACACAAAAGATTTGATGGAGTCGCTTATGAAGTTGCAGTATACAAGAATCAGTGACAGTGCAAACGTTTCTTCACTCACGCCTGGCAGAACTGCAGGTCCACACAGATTTGCAAATAGGTCAGGATGCCAAGGCAGCTACACCAAATGCAGAGATAAAAACCGCACAAAGAAAACTGTTTGAGAAGCTAAGAGCTTAGAAATAAACTACGTAAGAGTTCAAGAAAAGCAAAGACTGGGAAATGAAACAAAACCAAAACATAACCTCACACTCTGAGAAAGCAGTAATTCCCCTCTGCCCACTTCCTAAGAGACTCATAAATTTTGAGGATTAGTAGTAATTAAAGCATTTTAAGGAACCAGAACCTAAAGCATTTTAAGGAACCAGAAGCAATAGCACAGTCAGCAACTACCAAGCACAGCTTTTTCAGCAAAGTAGTACTGCATGGAAACGAATTTTCAACTGAGTTGTCCCACTGTTTAAGTTTCCACTGATAGAACATAATCACAACCAACCTAAAACATATTTAGAAACACCTGTTTACTATTCTTTATGGCACATTTTAAGTGACCCATGCTCATTTATAGCTTTGTGCAATCTTAGCTTCCTCAGAACTTAACCCACTACTCCAGGGTTTTGTGCTCAAGGTAATATCAACATGCTGTCAAGCACAAAAGCCTTTAAACACTCTCCGACTTCAAGCAGAGTTGTGGGTAACCAGTGTTTGACAAACATTTGCTGGAATAGCTGTCTTAAGAGGATTTCTAAAGACATTTTCAGTGAAGTCCACAACAGAAACTCATTTTAGTATAGATGAAACTGGACTTTAATAAAGCCATTCCAAAAACCCTTCATAAGCTGCACTAGTAAAAATGGCATTACTGCACATAGTTTGCACTGCACTTCAACCAGCATATTAGTCAGGAATCACACACAATCAATATAATTATCTTTTAAAAAGAATCCCTAGTTTAGAAATGGCTCAGGTATTCTTTTGCTAGGATAGCTTACTCTGGGCCATTAAAGTTATTAGGCAATATTGGAAAAACAACATTTTGTGGCTGTAGCTCCTCCTACATGGCAGTGTCTGTTGATGTACCAGTCACATGCGTAACACGCCTCCCCTCCCGTTCTCCTGAGCCATGCAAGTTACTTTACTGTAGTCAAGTGTAAATCACAAATATGCACGTAAGAGCCCATAATAATGGGTTTAAGATGCTGAAAGAAAATTAATTCACCAATTCAGCCTTAGTAGTTATTTTGACACAGTTCATGGCATTCTTGTTCCAGTATTTTTCCCCAAACTGCTACCCTAGTAGCAAGATAGCAAGAGTAAGATTATTTTGGAGTCATATTGTGAGTCAAGACAGCTGCAAGTGGAAGATATAGGCAGATTAGAGAACAAGCATACTCAAAGAGGATTCTCTTTTTTTCTTTCTGTTAACTGTCTTTTCTCTCCCCCCTCCTCCCTCCCTTTTGGAAAGTCAGTCTAACACTTGCTGTCTACAAAGCAAGTCAAAATGATGACTTCTGCAACAGGCTGTTATATGCCCCGTTCTACTACTGTTTTACATTCCTTGCTGACGCAATCCTTATTTTTCAGTTGGTTAATACATAAATACGTCTCTAATTCCATGTGACTTTCCCTCCTCCAACCTTCCCTCCAAGATTTAATATTTAAGGATGAAGAATTTGGGTTTTTTCTAATTTCATCATCTACATATTACCATCCATTAATGTAGCATGTGTGATAAACAAGAATAAGGCTGTAAGGAAACTACTAGTCTCAGCTAAAACATTCGCTCTACCTTTGTGGATTTGCTTAGCAGCCGGCATTTAAGATGTCAACTTGAGGGCATTACATAGCAATAAGCCTTTAAAGCCACTCTTCCTTGAAAAAAGTGCAAATTATCTCTGGCACGTAGTTGAATATACAATGACTATTGCATAAGTTTTGAAGTGTTAAATCTTATTAACACCCGAAGATCTTTTGTATCTTGATAGATTCACAGAGATTTAGCATTCACATTTCTATTTCTTCTTGGAAGATGAGTTCCTGTGATGGAATAAATAGTAAAATATCTTCATTACTGCAGCTAGAATTAAGGCTTATCAGGGCTCTCCTTCCAAGCTGAGTAATTTTCAGCTGCCCAGATTACCAGGAGATTTAAAACAAATTTAAAAGCGTTTTATAAAACTCTTCACTGATAATTCTGTGGTCTCTCCCGTGAGACAAACAGTATTTGCTCAAGAATTGCTTAGGAATAGTTTGCTTTTATCATTGTTACTATTATTACTTGCATGAGAGATATTAAAAGATACAATGCCACCTGCTGGCTTCTGAGTTTCATGTTTGTCTGGTTTACAGTTTTCTGGTTACAATGTAAACACCAAAAATAAAACACCAGTACTACCCTGTACACTCCACTCTTCTAATACAGAATGGTGCTATAGGTATTACAGCAGAAATAGTTTTTTCAGTCTTACCAACCGAGATATGTGCTATATACACTATCAGATGTATACCACTTAACCCATGAGATGATGTGAAGTCCAAGCTTTAGAATTCAATAATCAATATTGAAAACTCAAATACTTAACAGGCAGAATTTACCTATGGAAGGAAAGCCACTTGACTCCTTCACACAGTACAACTCCTGATGTCATAAGCAGTTCTGCAAAGTACTGTGTCTCAATTCCTTCTTCCTCATGCTTTTTAAACTGGATACCAGATGTCGTCAACAGTTCAATAGAGTCCTGGGCATACATATCTTCTCTAAAAAAAGAGAGCGGGAAAAGTAAATTTTCAAAATCTACAAACCTCAGTGATTATAAACCTGGTAATGTTTCTTTTTTGCTATTCATTCCACAGACTTCACTAGCACAGAGCAGGAGCAACTGTTCAGTGTTAATTACAAAACCAATCATTTTTCATAGCTTTTGTTAACCTTCACTAGCATTTCACCGTTCCCGGCACCTCCATTCTCACCTCCTTCATAAAAGACAAGTTCTTGCTCCTCTTCCGGTTACCTAGAACTCCCCTTTTGCAAAACTACAGAGGAAAGTGAATGTATGAATATAGATATTTTACCGAGTAAGATCCATTACTTGAACTGTGACAAATTAAATACAGCAGTTGAAGCACTAACATGTTACATTACAGAACTATAGGAACAGTACGCTCCAGATCCCAGTGTTGTATTAGTTCTGTGGATGGTATTTCCCACACATTTCTTGTGATTTAAGCTTACATAAATGTTCAGACACATGCTCATCAAAACTCCATTCTCGCTACAACTGGAAATTGAGTACTTGCTCCATTTAGTCAATCCTTAAAATTCAGGTAGCCTAATGTTTTCTTCTTAAATGACCATCTTCAACTTTAATAGCCATATTTTGGACTTAAAATTTAACAGGATGGAAAAAAAGTCCTCTATGCCTTGTTTGATCCCCTCTTATCCCTGTATTTACTCCCTTTACCACTAACATTTTTGTAAACTCTTAAGGATTTTATGATGAAATGGATGGGGGGTGTTTCCTAAAATTTAATCTATATCATCATAACAAAGACATAGAATGGTTAACTGGGGGGAAAAAAAAAAAAGCAAACGTGGCTCTACTTAGAGGATGATATTCATATTACTGTCCACAACATACTATTCTACAAAGTCTCTTCAGTGTATAGTTTTCAATTTTAATAAAAAAACAACCAAAACAAACCACAAAAAAATAAAAGACAAGACAACCAGTATATCAAACTTGACTATTAGATTCAGTTGTAGACTTATATTCCTTATTCCTAACAGCAAGTCATCATTCATCAGAACAGAGAGCTACATTCTCAAGATGTGTTGTATCTTTTTTTCCTCCCTCCCACGCAGATGCTCATTAGTTCTCCAGCTTTAAGGCATCAGCTTCCCAACACCTGTCCATCTCCGTAACACATTAAAGAACCCATCCAAAACAAACATGCCTATTTTACAAAAAGAAGTTTTACTTCTAGTTTGTTGCTCTGCACTAATCAGGTGGATAGTTAGTTTAGAGAAATATTTACGCTCTTTAAAAGCACACTATAACAAGACCTGGCTGGAACCACACACAAAAAAATTACCTTCTAGGAACAGCCAACAGCTGTTTTGCTTTAGGAGCAGAACACTGGGCACAGTGCCACTTCCCAAAAGGAAGTTTAGAAACAGACAAAGATAAGTAATTTCTCCACCCATGTAAAAAAAAAAAATCTTCGTGTTTCATGCAGCACTTACCTAGCTTACCTTTTTGTATAAAATCCCCCCAGTGAACTAGTAACAAGTTAGTTAGGTGACTACGTGTATCTTGCCTTACTAAGCCGTCTTATCTATGCAGCATCTGGCACAAATGGGTGGAAAACTACTTTTGTTTTCAGTTGCTTGATATTAAGTAGACCTTTGAAGCTCAGAAAGTAAATAAAACATAACACAGGCTCTTCTTCCCAGACCACAGTTTGGAAGTTACTAATTCATTCCTCTTCCTCCCATACTTCGCAGGATTAGTATACTCTTCTACTAAGACAATGGGTAACTTCCATACAGCATTTATATGGCCATGTAAGTTTAGAGATACCAAAATATCAAATCTGCACTTCCTTTTCTTTCAAGAGGTGCTTCAAACAAAACTAAAAAGAGCATGTCATTCCTCAGACCAAACTGATTTGTGACAAGCCACAGCACTGCTTGTTTAGAAAAGTAGAAAGATCAAGAGATACACCAGCAGTTTTTTTTTCTTTGCAAGAACCCCGATTACTTTGAAAACAAGTCTTTTTATCTGCAGAAAAAAAGGTCTGTTCTCTAAACTTCCTTTGTAGGCTGCAGTTTTAACTCATGTATATCAAGCTGTCCAGTGATCAGCTTGTAACACGACTGCCAAAAAACCCCAAGCCTTCAACATATTTAAGTTTGAGAAGTGTTTGCACCAATACTCAACTCAGGCCATATGAAAACCTATCAGACCAATTATGTTTACTTCAGGAAAAAATTCAAGCTACTAGTAACTTTGTCGACCACCTGCTAAAGATATAATTAGAACTCCACAGAAGCATCTCATCCCACTGGAAAAGCTAAGTTTATACTTAAAGATTTGTCACTATAAAAATCACATTGTGAAATAAAGGTCACAATACTATTCCAGCAGATAGTAAAAGTCAGCTTGCTTTTTAACCAAACTTTACACAAAATAATCCAGAACAAAAATCTCCACAGGAGTTATGCTGTAGAATCAATAATGCCTTTCAACCTATTACAGAAGAAAATTAAAATACAGTAGCTTAATAGAATAAGTTGCTTTGAAAACACAAGAACAGTTGCTGCAGTATTAAAAAGTTGGCAGTATTTTACCTAGAATATTATCTAGAACATGTTGTGAGTCTTAACATGAAAAACATTATTTTAAAGAGGACAGAGCACACTTGCTTTAGAACGTGCTGATAACATTTGTCATACTTCTTTATTAGTCACTTTGGTAAATTTACTTTTTTTTTCTTCACGTTGGTATTTTCCATTTAAAAATATGCAAAGAAACAACATGTGACTTCTCTAACAACTAAGTTTAGGTAGAAGCACTCCGAACTGCTAAATATAAAAATGCAGAGCTAACTCTTGCACTAAGTATAAACGCCTCTTTTTAAAACTTTTGTTGAAATTGCTTAGCATTTTTGACCAAATTACCAACAGTAAGACAGACTGCACAAAAATGAGGGAAGAAAGCACATGTTTGGCGACAAAAGTTTTCCTCACATAAAGTATCTATGGTATTCCAATCATACAGGTAAGAAGACTTGCTATAGCTTTCACAACCTGTAATACATTTTCAGTAAGTCAGAAACATAACATTCAACAGCACAGACATTTAACACTTACGTTAAATTAAATTTAAAATTAAATTGCCAAGTTGAAGTTCCTGGAGGGTATTCTCCTTGCTCATTCATAAATGTCAGTCCTAGTTGAATTATTTTTAGCAAGTCTACATTACAGCGTAATAATTGGTACTGATAGTCTGCGTTGCTTCTGAATTCTCCAATAGGCCTTGCAACTACTCCTGGAAATTCTGTATCCTGTAAGAACAGAATTAAAACTTCAACAAAAGACAGCCATAAAAATTTATGCTGCTCATTTTTAATAAAATATATTTCAAGCATCTAACAGTTTCATGGCTGAAGAGTACTGTGTGTAAATTTAGCATTTAAAAACGTAATAGATTGGGATCGTAATGTTCGTACAGCGTTAATTCAACATTAAGAATGCATTATTCTTTCAGTGAAAATAGATGAACAAGTTTACAGCTTTAATTTACTAGCATCAAACAAAGTCATCATGTTTTTTGCAGTAATTCGCTAGATAAACATCAAGTGCCCACTTACCATAGCTACATAGTTATACTTCCGTATAACTTGACGAATTTTCTTCATCTCTTCATCCAAGTTACAAGCCCAAACTTCACAGATTCTTTGGCTATGGTCTACGGTAGCTGCTGGCATAATGGGGGTCTTTAGAGACCATACATCAAAAGTTACACCTGACTGAGGATCAGTTTCATAAAGAGGACTTTAATGATTTTTTTTAACCTAGGAGACAAAGAAAGCAAAGTATCAAAATGTAAGTTTTTATTCTTCATTTATCTGAAAAAAACGCTTAAACACCAGGATCAAGCTTTATTCTTCAGAATTTCATAAAAGGAGCACAACATAGCCACCAAAACCATGTGAATTTCAGCTATGTAAGTTCAGATTACTATCCGAAATTAAAACCCTATGCATTTGTTAGTAACTTCGTTCCTTGCACAAAGCCAGGCAAACCGGCAAGGCGCACCAGTTCCACAGATAAAAAGAGATACCTGAGCCCACCAAGCGTTACTCCCCCACGGGTTAGAAGGGCACATTCCCGCGGATCCCACGGCTGCGTGCAACATGAAACTTAGCGGCAAAGCGACTATCAGCGTTACGCCAAACTCGGGGACACTGCGGACAACAAAGAGGCGCCCGGGCAGGCGGCCTGCCTCGGCAGGAGCAGCTCTTTCAGCTCGTACGGGCCGCGCTAAACCAGAAAGCGGCGCGAGGGGGCCGAATCACGGCCCGACAGACTCGGACTCACGCTCCGGCTGGGTTCCTGGGCGCTTCCTTATGCCTACGAGGCCTGAAGGGCGCCCCG